TTGGGGCTAATGTAGCAGATGACACAGAACAAACGAGACGGAGCGGCCAGGACGGGCGTTGCAGACGAGACGGAACAAATGAGGCCAACGGGACGAATGATCGGGCGGCTCCGACTAAACAAAACAAACAGAGTCGCGTCCTCAATTCCATCGTGACCCCGAGCTGTAAGCGCCGAGTGCGAGGGCTCGGGTGGGGAATTGATTCTCCCCGGGCCCAGCAATCCCGCGCGGTGCCGTGGTGCGCACACCCGCACCTTCAAATCCACAGGTCGCTGGTTGGATTCCATCTCGCGGAGCCAGCGGTGGAAATTCCCCCCTTCATGTTTGGGTAAAGCGTGGGAGGGCCGCGCCCAGACTGATCCGGGGCTACGAGCGGAACTTAACGTCCACCGGGACGAGCCGGGGAGGGAAGGGGGAGGTGGAGGGGGGGGTCACTTATGAGTGGGCGGTCCTCCCCACCCGCTTCATTCCGGGAGGTCAGGCTGTCCCCCTTGCATCACCTTCCCCGCCGGCTCCGTGCACCCACGTGACCGCACGTGGCGGTGCAGCCAGGAGTGCGAGACCCCCTCACGCCCCGAGAGACAAAGGCAGCGGTGGCTTTTACTGCGATGATGACTACTCGCTTGGATGAGACCGCTATTACACGGTTGTCTCATTTCCCTCCTTACGCTGCTGCCTCAAACGTCGCAGCCACGGCTTTTCACTCTTTGGGTTGGTGGTCTAGACAAGGCCAAGCGCAGCGATGCCACGTGGCGTGCGAGGCGTGATGGGCGGGCAGAGTCGCCGCTCTCAGCGGTGCCTGGAGACCCCTCGTGCGCGGTGCGCCCCGCGCCTTCTACGGTCGGCTGCCGACCTCTCGTGAAGTTGACCCCCAATCACTCAGAAATGAACACGATTTTGACTTGAGAACCGAAATACTAAATCCGTCTTTATTTGGTTTCGGATGCGTCGTACTAGCTCCACAACGATTAGTGATCGTCAGCACCTCGCTGCCGGCTGCTGCTGCTGCCGGCTGCTGCTGCTGCTGCTGCCGGCTGCTGCTGCTGCTGCTGCTGCCGGCTGCTGCTGCTGCCGGCTGCTGCTGCTGCTGCCGGCTGCTGCTGCTGCTGCCGGCTGCTGCTGCTGCTGCTGCCGGCTGCTGCTGCTGCTGCCGGCTGCTGCTGCTGCTGCTGCTGTTGCTGCTGCTGCTGCTCGGGCTGCTGCTCGGGCTGCTGCTGCTGCTGCTGCTGCTGCTGCTGTTGCTGTTGCTGCTGCTGTTGCTCGGGCTGCTGCTGCTGTTGCTGCTGTTGCTGTTGCTGCTGCTGTTGTTGCTGCTGCTACTGCTGCTGCTGCTGTTGCTGCTGCTACTGCTGCTGCTGCTGTTGCTGCTGCTACTGCTGCTGCTGCTGTTGCTGCTGCTACTGCTGCTGCTGCTGTTGCTGGTGCTGCTGTTGTTGCTGCTGCTGTTGGTGCTGTTGCTGCTGTTGCTGCTGCTGTTGTTGCTGCTGCTACTGCTGCTGCTGCTGTTGCTGCTGCTACTGCTGCTGCTGCTGTTGCTGCTGCTACTGCTGCTGTTGCTGCTGCTGCTGTTGCTGCTGCTGCCGGCTGCTGCTACTGCTGCTGCTGCTGTTGCTGCTGCTGCTGCTGCTCGGGCTGCTGCTGCTGCTGTTGCTGCTGCCGGCTGCTGCTACTGCTGCTGCTGCTGTTGCTGCTGCTGCTGCTGTTGCTCGGGCTGCTGCTGCTGCTGCTGCTGTTGCTGCTGCTGCTGCTGCCGGCTGCTGCTGCTGCTGCTGCCGGCTGCTGCTGCTGCTGCTGCCGGCTGCTGCTGCTGCTGCTCGGGCTGCACTCGTCGATTCGGCGTCGAGCGACAGGCGCAGCGTCGATTCCGCGCTGACGGTCGATCGCCTCGCTCACGATGCACGCGTCAAATCGTGCGTCTGAGAATCTATTATTTACAATAAATGCAATGACGTGGCAATGCTTTGGTAATGATATGGTAAATTATATGCTCATGTAACATTCACTTTAACAGAGCGAAGTGCTCTACAAGCGACCCGGTAACAACGAGACAATTTAATTGATTCTTGATTGGATGGCAGCCCTGAATCATGGCAATTGAATAAGCTGGCTTAAGGGAGGAAGGGGGAAGGGTGGGGTGGTGTTGAATAATTAATACTGCAGGCGTATGCACCTAAACACACACACAGTGTACGTTACAGTTCCCACGTCATTCGAAAGAGAACGCAAATTGTGCGACTGCACACGTGAGAAATCACCACGCCGCAAATTACTCGGTTGAGATGGACACAGCAATTGTCGCCCCCTGCCGCAATAACCTGGCAGGACCCTCTTCAAAAATAGCCATGAGACTGCGCGAATCTTTCCTGAGTAAAACAAGCGGAATAGCTGTTACAATAATCACAGCGGCGTGACCCTCCACCCAGAGTAGCGATTGTTTAGGGGGTCACGACCCCTGGCGAGGCCGGCGGTGAACGACCGCGGGCCTCGTGCACCGCGGGTTCCGTTCGCTCGTTCGTTCTCACGCCGGCCCAGGCAGAGGGAAGGAACCGATGGCGCCCGCAGGCCCCCACGTCCAGCCACAACCCCCTCCGTGCAAAACTCACCACTATCACTCACCACCACCCACAGGGCCACACGTCCAGCCACACCCCCCTCCGTGCAAAACTCACCACTATCACTCACCACCACCCACAGGCCCACACGTCCAGCCACACCCCCCTCCGTGCAAAACTCACCACTATCACTCACCACCACCCACAGGCCCACACGTCCAGCCACACCCCCCTCCGTGCAAAACTCACCACTATCACTCACCACCACCCACAGGCCCACACGTCCAGCCACACCCCCCTCCGTGCAAAACTCACCACTATCACTCACCACCACCCACAGGCCCACACGCCCAGCCACACCCCCCTCCGTGCAAAACTCCACGAGTGGAAACGACTGTCGCAGCAGCAGAGCCTCGGAGGTGACGGCGTCGCGACTGGGCTGCCGCGCCTGGAACTGAATTCACCTCCCGGGATTAAATTAGCGGCGACAGCAGCAGGGAGCAGTGGTGCGAGGTGGCGGGGGGGGGGGAGCAGGTTGAAGAGGATAGAGGGGGGTGGGTCGGAGAGGAGGGGGTGGATGAAGGTGGAGGAGGGGGTGGAGTACGCGCAGAGTGAGTGCAGCGTGCAGCTTGGAGCTTGCAGCGTGCAGTGTGCGTCTCCCTCATCGAGTCCCCCCCCACCCTCATCACGAGTCAACACGTGCCCCCCCCCCCATCGTCACAAGTAAAATTGTATGCAAATTATATGCTAATATTTGTATAGAGTCGGTACGTGTCCTGGCTGTCCCAGGATCCTCTCTGGTGGAGGAGGTAGCTTTTACCATTTATTCTTAGGGCATTAAAGATCTCGGATGTTGTCTGTGGCAAAGATAATAGTGGCAAAGAGACAGAAGAGTGATCGACCTCTCGCGTCCATGAGTTTACAGGGGGCTCCCCCTCGTCTGGTGTGGTGGGTTATTGTGACTGTCGCCATGACGTGCCCAGTGTTGTGTAATATCGGAGGAGGCCACGCGGACTGGGTGCGTGGACTCCCATTGTCTAATTCGTGCCGCTGCCGCCACCCGTAGTCCCTAATCCCTCCGGGGTGTCACGACGCCGCCGCCCGCAGCCCCGCGTCGTCTCGGACGGAGCGGCGAGCGGAGCGAGGGGGCGCCCCCGGCAGATCGCCTCGCACTGTCGGGTGAGGGGCAGGAGGCCGTGGGGTGGCGGGCTGCGTGGGGGTCGTGAGTTACGCGCCCCCAGGGGCCGTAAACATCGCAGCCCCGCATGCGTCAGGGGCGGCGCCACGTAATTTACGCGACAATTACAAACGATAATTTAGCCGTTCATAACCCACACCTCTGCCGCTTGGGGTATTGGTGCAGCTCCCTAGTTTTGCCATTAGCTTGTAATTTATCGCACGCCGGGATGGGTGAGCCGCCGGTGTCCGCGGTCGTGGCGGCGCTGAGACGAGAGGGCGGTGGTTGTGGTGCGGGTGGTCCGAAATTGGGCGAGCCCGCCCCGTGAGTTCAGGCGAGAGTGCGTGATGGACGACTTGCCCGGGGCTCCCGTAGCCCTCCCGCCCTCCCGCCCGCCCGCTCACCCCACAGGGGAAAACCACCGATCCCGTGCGGGGGCGCGGCGTGCGCTGTGGATAAGGCCCCGCGCCCTCGCTGCACCCGCCGGTCGCCGTGCTCAATCTACCCCGGCCGGCGTGTGACCCGCTCGGTGAAGCATCAGGAACGAGCAGCGGGCGCGGTGCAGCGGGCGCGGTGCAGCAGGCGCGGTGCAGCGGTGCGGAGAAGCGACGGTGCGTTTATTTCCACTGCGAGACGGGGTCGCTCCACGAGGGGAGCACGTGGATTGCGTGTACATTAGGTCTTCAATGCGTAATATTAAACGTATCAAAAATAAAATTGCAGCACCACCATTCTTGCGGAGATGAGCAGCAAAGCAGCACCCCCCCCCCGCACCCCATTCCCAGATGTGCCCCCAAGTGGGCGTCTACAGCAACAACCAGCGTCGTTTGCAACCATCGTGAGCGACGGTCAATCCACTGCTGGATGAAGGCCTCCCCGCATCGTTGCCATTCCCCACCGTACCGTGATGCCGCACCCTGCGGAAAATGAGCCGATGTTGGGTTCCCGCTCAGCAGGAGATGATGGGGCGGTGTGGCGATGATCGGCGGGGCGATGGGGCGGTGTGGCGATGATCGGGGGGGCGATGGGGCGATGGGGCGGTGTGACGATGGCGGCTTCTGGTGTGCCGAGTCGGCACGGCGTCCATTGTTGCTGACAACTGTTGTGCACCATTAGGAGGGTTTGTGCACGATCAGAACAAAGTGTGCTCAGTTTTGTTGAACTTAATCAGTTGTGAACATTGTTCGATAATTCGGTTTTCTTTAAATGTACTTATTTTAATTGAATGATTCTGAGTAATTTGCTAATCGTGTTGTTTCTCTCTCCTTCAGGGCCGTGGTCGCCGATGCAGGTTTAATGACGCGACCGTCGGATGGCAGAACATCGCTGTGAACACCACCGCTCCCATCGCTCGCACGGTGGCTCCATCTCCATCACCTGACTCCCATCGCCACCGGCACGCCGCCGCAGCCACCTCGCCTGACTACCGCACCGTAACGGCGACTCCGCAGGAAGCGGCCAACTGCCGTCGTCGCTGGCATCACCGTGACGCTGGAGTGTCGACATTGTTCGGCCGAAAAACATGAAGACAAACTCGGCACACATCACCTGAGCACGACGGATCAAATCGGCCCAATCGGCCTGGGTCACTCTCTCAACTCCACACTCACCTCTCAGTCACCCCGACACTCGCCACCATCCCCACTGCCTCCCTCGCTCAAGCTGATGCGTACCCAAGAGAAGTGAACGGCACCGTCCACCACCTCCCCGACATCATCGCGACCGCTCGCACCCCTTCACGACCGCCCTCGCTCACTCGCGCTCGGTCTTCCTCAGCATCGCTCACCCCCCCGCCCGTTCCCCACGCTCGCGTCCGGCGCAGAGATGGAGCCGAGCAGCGGGCCGCACGGGCCCCGGGGCCCGATCTGATCCACGCGTCTCCACAGCCCGGCCTGCTCGCCACCCCCACCATGCTTGGCCTGTGCCGCCGGCGGGCCCGCATCCTGCTCGCCACGGCAACGCTCCTCTTCGTGCCCATGGTCACGTGGCTCTACCTCTTCACAGGCAGCTTTGAAGGTTTGTGAGGAGGAGGAGGAGGAGGCCCCCCTCCCTCTCCTTTCTTGCTCCCTTCACCACCGCACCTTTCCTGAACTTTGCACTCGTTTCGGATGTTTGTGTTGTTGTAACGTTCTCATCTGACCCTCCTGGACATCTTTGAGAAAGAGCTTTATAGCTCATCGGATTCCTCCAGTCTAAATCAATATTGTGATTCTGACACCTCAACTAAACCACCACGGGACAGCTCTCCCACGCTTCTCAGGGATGTGCTGCGTGTCGTTTGGCAAGATGTCTGACGTTTCGCTCCATGTGCTGGAGCTCCTTCAGGAACTGAAACGAGAGGCCCACCTCCCACAGATCCATCCATTGAGTACGTCCGCAAAAATCTGTCAAAACTCGACCTCCTTCCCCCCCCCTCCTCCCTGTACGCACGCGGACTTTTTACACCCCCCCCCCACCTGCGTACGTACGCCTGGCGCACCCCCACCCCTGAATCCTATAGAACGGCCGATATTTAATCCACGCAGAAACGATCAAGGATGAATAATATTAACGTGTTTAAGCAAACAGATAGTCCACTGCCGGCTGCATTGAAGTATTAAGTCGCGTACCTTGGCCACTGATGTTGCTGAGCTGCGTGATTGCTGCAGTCAGGGGCATGTGGCACACGAGCGACACGTCTCCCACAGTCCCACTTCTCCCGGCAGGACTTGTTGTCTGACAGCTGACGACACTGAACTGTGGCTCATGTGAAGGCCAATGTAGACAAATTATTATTGAGGCTTCACCCCCCCCCCGTTTTCTATGCGTACAATGTCAGTAGACCCCCCATACGCAAGTGTATGCATTTGGGTTAACCTCTAGCCTTCCCCCGTCCATGCGTACGTACTCAATGAATAGCCCCTAAGCATTGCCGGCTGCTGCTGTGGCTGCTGCTGCTGTTACCGGATCATGATGCTGATTGGCCAAGCTACATCAGACAGCTGAGCCAATGTCAAGCAGCAGCAGTAGCTGCAGCTGCAGCAGCAGCTACTGCTGCTGTTTGACATTGGCTCAGCTGCAGCAGCAGCCCGCAACACTCTCCTGACCAAGCTCCCAGGACTTCAGACATCGTGCCGATATTTTGGCGACAGTTCCCGGAGGAGACTCTCCGCGTGACTCTCTCCGTGCCGCGTGGCGCTCGCAGCACCGCCGCTCTCCGCGGGGCCTTAATCAGCGGGCTGCTAATGCTCCGCACACTCTGCCAATTAAGCACCGCTCGCACAATGCAATCTCCCTGAGTGGAACGGGAACCAGACTGCCGTGGTAATTCCCTCTCGAGCAGCCCGCGCGGAGGCGGACGGGCGGGGATAGGTTGTCGCCGTCGGCCCGGAGCCAGGCCTCGGCGCGCGGTGATTAGCACGAAGCGCAATCACGTTCGATCGCCTCCCTCGCTCTCTCTCGAGGCGAGATAAGTGCGGAGGTTATTATCGGTCGGGAGAGGAGCTCACGAGACAGAGGGCCGCAGGGTTCGGCACCGGCGCTGTCGGCAGGGTCTGCCGTGCCGATCGTGGGCCCCTCGCCTCCGGTGTTCACCCGGCAGACGTACGGGGCCGTTGTTCGTAAACCGTGCACGCCACACTCGGACTTTACTGCCCATAGAGTTCTTCATCTTCACCATGGTCGTCAATCCTTCCTGATCAGGACTACGATCCTCCCGCTCCTGTCGTCAAACTGCCTTGTCTAGTTAAGCATGGGCTGTCCTGGTCACCTCGTTCATTCATTTCATTTGATGCAAGCACTGGACTTCTAATTAACAAATGGATTAATATATTATCACAACCTCACGTCATGGTCTCATGTCCACGGCAAGTCATTCATTGTCACCAGCTGGATTCACAACTTACATTGATGTAGAGCTGCTATTCAAGTCATATCCATTCGGCAGATGAAGAAGATTGGATGAAACCAGTGACACTCCTTTGTGGGTTTCTTGTTCTAGAGAGACTGGAACCATAGTAATATGGAACATCCACTGCAAATTCTACAATTGTGGATGCATTTCGGACGCTTGAAGCACGTGGGTGCCATCGTGAAGGGGCTTGTTTCCTTGGGAACAGCATGTCCATTGGTCAGGCCCGTGATTCGGATAGAAATAACTTGTCCACCTTTCTCGATAAGAGAGAGAAATGCTCGTGTAACATCGCGGTCTGTCGGACGTACTCGCACTGAATGTTGTGTCCTCGCTGCGATAGTGGTGATGGTGCATTCAGCTTCAAGTCTGGGTCAAACCGTTGACTTATTCCCAATTATCTTAAAAATGGACAGGCCGCAGGCAGTCGATGGTGTAGTGTGGATGGCTCGGCCTTCGTGCAAGGCCCAAGGCATCCATACAGTAGCTCCCCCACCCACCCCTGCTGGAGGCTGCGTTTGAGGCTTCCCATCGCGAGAGGAGCGAGGGCCTTGGTGTCAGCGACCGTTGTCCTGCGGCGCAGGGCGGTGAGCCTCGAAACGGAGCCCTCGTCCTCCGCAACCTCGGACCAAGCCCCGCCGCTTTCACTCCAACGCAGACATCCGAGCGCTTTTAAGGAATGTTAGAACGGTGGCTGAGCTGCAGGGAACGAATTCCATGTTTTAGATGATTTAAACGCACACCTTGAACGTTCGTGACGAAGCTGAGTGGCCGATTTTAAATCTGAAAACGTGGGGCGCCGGTTAAGATAAGGGGCTCAAATTTCAAAGTGCTGTGATTTTGTTCCCACTTCTGAGAGCACGAGTTATTTTAGTCTTGCGACCCATTTACATCTCAATACACGGCTCCCCGGCGGGCGGCGATACACCCGGAGCGCCACCCGCTCCTTCTGCTGCGGAGAGATAATAATTCTCATTTGTTAGAAGCAATGCGAAGGCGACGCGCGCGCTCTCTCGCGCTCTGCTCGCGCATTCGAGCGGCGCGGAGGGGGCGACGTGAAGCCGGCGCGCGGCCCCCGTGACGGGCACCGCTCCTCGCGCCCCCTTCGGGACCGCCCGGGGCCCTCGTCCACTCCCCGTTATCGTGCCGTGACGCCGACAGACTCCCCCGACCTCACCGGGTGGCGGGCGCGATTGGGGACAATCGGGGATTAAGGAGCGCGCGAACCGTGGCTGTCGCACGACCGCCTGCCAGCGCGGCCCGCGGAGGTGTTGCGCGCTGATTGCCTCTATTCATCCTCCACGGTACGGGGGTGGGCGTAGGCGGGGGGGGGGGGGCGCCGTCGGCAAAGCGGGGGCTTAATCCACTCCGGCCACGCGCCCCGACGCCGCGGTGCCAGCGCCGGCCCGCTGGCCCGTGGCAGCCTGGGGAGTGCTCTCGCGTCTACGCCAACGAACGCTCGTTTGTAGAATTTTGAGCGACCTCTGCATGGGCTGGGAATTCTAAAACATTCGTCGATAACACAGCAGCAGTAAAATGAAAAACATGCACAACAGTCGACGTTCCGTGGAATGACCCTTCCTCTCCTACTAAATATCCATATCATGTATGTACGTTGAACTTACTCCGCACCATACGAAGTCAACATCTTCCAACGCAGTATCTCACGCAATATTTAGAGGATTCTGGATGGAGCGTGGTGGTGACGGTCGGAGCAGTGGTGGTGATGGCAGCAGTGGAGGAGGAGGGCCCACGCCAGTAGCTGTGGCACTCTAGTCGGCCGCGCGCGGCGCTGCCATTTAGCAGCGCTCACTCACACAGTGTGGAGCAGGGAGCGTGGAGCGGGGTGTGTGGAGGGTGGAGCGTGGAGTGTGGAGCGGGGAGCGGGGAACGTGGAGCAGGGAGCGTGGAGCAGGGAGCGTGGAGCAGGGTGCACAGCTGGGGCTGTTCTGGCTACTTCGCATTAATTGTGTTCATTAACAGAATCGTGTTTCCACTGCTCAAAACCACAGCAGACGAATGAGAAGAGAGTGTCGACATTGCTATCCGATGAGCTCGGGGTTTCTTTCAGCACAGGTCAAAGGTGCATTGGGAATTGGCGAGCGATTCTGGCGCGTGCCGAGCTCGCCGCGCGTGCAGGGATCGATTTGAACCGACGGGTGAACCGGCGCATCACCGCTGCGCGCACCCGACAGGCGACGCCGACTCTTGCCTCCGGTCGTTAACGAAGGGAAATCAGATCAACCAAGAGAGCGGCGCCGTAAATAACGAGCGAACGAAACTGGGAGGGAGTCTCGGGGGCGGGGGAGGGTTAGGATTGGGCCACCTGTCCTGGCTGTCCCCGGATCGCCCTCCTTGTTGTCGTAACCGTCTCCTCGCGCAACCCGTGGGGCGCAGTCTGGGGCATGGATACCGTGCAGGAGAACTGATCGGATGCACGTGGGGAAGGTTGCCTGCATAACAAAACTAACGAGTGCACGTCGTAAAAACCGTGGCTTATGAACAACGCGTACACGAGAGGGGCGTGGACAATTAGTAACCTGGGTTGTGATTGCTCAGGGACCGGTGCTCTTGATTGAAGGGGGCGCTATACCATACAAGTGGAGAACAACGGCGTTATGTTTCCTTGGGTACGAGTCCCGATTGTTGTGAGTCACATCCCGGCGTTTTGGTGGCTGAAGCGGTGGCTGGTTCGCTACCTTGCAGGTCGGCCGCTCCAGCGGCACCGGCCTCGCTCCGGCGTCCCTCGCTACCCGGGACATGCCGAGCGCGAGCGAGGGAGATGCTTTACGAGCGCTCGTAAAGAACGCGCAAATAAATAGAGGACATTTATGGCCCAGCGTGAAGCGCTGCGACACTTTCATAGCTTCCGGGGGATTTTCTAAACGAAGGCGACGATGGATGCTCCACTGCTCGGACCGCGATCGTGGAAATTGAGATTCCTCATCTATTGTTTGTGGTGATCATTGCATTGGGACTCACTGTTGTGTATGGTCACCACCATTGAGCATTGTCTAACGATGATGAATGCCGTGAACCGCCGCTCCGGGATCGCGATCGCAGATGCGGGGGCGGCGCGGTGAACGAACGGAGCTCGCTCGAGCTGCCGCCGCCTCGGGTGTTTGTTGTTCAGGAGGCGCCGCGAGAGGCTCCGCCACTGCCTAATGAGCAGAAGCAGAGGGACGTCAGGATGGGCGCTGTGCGCGAGAGCTGCAGCAGAGGCGCGGCTTTCACCGTGGCGCGCGGAGCGGACGCAGAGTCGAGGGCTCCGTGATGCGATCGTCGGCTCTCTCCACGTACAGAACGATGTCGCACATCCACCTCGACTGCCCATACCCGCGCCTCTTCATAGATCCGCCCATGTGTCAGTCCCCAGGGAGACGGATGTGCGATGTTGTGCTGTCCGCTATCTTCCCGTATGCAAAAATGTATCTTCCCCAAGCTAACATCCCAAACCAGGACCCTCTTCAGAATAAGCCTTAAGGCTCGGTTTTAATTGTACGATCGAATCATAATAATTTGCGGATCCTGCAAAGTCTCGCCGAGTCTGCAGACTGTGTCTGCGTGTGGCGTGAACGAAGACGGCTCGCCAACGTCTCCTCGGCGTCCCCTTGTCGTCTGCCTCGCGCACAGGTGGGGCCCTGGCCTGGGCCCAGTCCAGCGTCCTGCAGCACGCCGGCAATCCCCGTGCGGCGCAGGTGGCGCAGGGGGGGACGGGCACGGGCCTCCTGGGCGCTCCGGGGGGGGGCCCGTCCCCCGCGGTGGGAGGAGGCGCCGACGGCGAGAGCCCCGGCGGCTCGGGAGGGGGTCGGCACCGCGGCAGCGGGCGGGCGCTGGAGCTGTGGGCGCGCGAGGTGGAGGAGGAGAACCGGCAGCTGCGCCGCAAACTCGGGCTGGGCGCCGGCGGCAGCAACCGAACCCGCTTCTCCCCCCGCTCGTCGTCGTCCGGCGAGGACGCGGCCAAAGCCGGGACGGGCGCCGGGGGCGGCGCGGCGGGCAACCGCAGCGAGTGCGCGAAGCACCCGGCCGTGCAGAAGTGCGAGGTGAGCCGAGTCCCGGGGCGGCGCCGTGGGATGGCGACCCGGTCGGGGCGCATCGCCGGGGTGGTGCGGCGCGTGTGTGCGGGTATCGTTTTGCGTGAACGTTGCCCGCACGCTGAGAGGGCGGAGGGACCCGGGGATGATGCCGCCCGTGATGCACCACTCCACCACCGCCGCCCTCTCACCGCACTCCTCCCCTGCCACTTCCTCCACTATCCCCCTCGCCCCGCAGGTGATCCACATCGCCATCGTGTGCGCCGGCCACAACGCGAGCCGAGACGTCGTCACCCTCGTCAAGTCCATCCTCTTCCACCGGTCAGGCCCCACCACGCCGCACCCCACGCCGCACCGCACCGCATCGCACCACGGCGCACAGACGCTTGCCGAACAAAAGCCTGCCGTGCAATATATTTAGCATCATCAAGAGCAGCCAGTGTCTATCCACTGCTGGATGAAGGCTCCCCCACGCCACCACTACCGATCTCACCGCTCCTTCTCCACGGCTGGCGTCCTGTGGGACGCATTCTCCGCCCGGGCCGCCGTGCGAGTGCTCGGCGGGGGGGCGTTCCAGGCGATTCGGTGGCGAGCGGCGTGGAACGTGAGAGCGCAAAATTAAAACGATTGGCTAATGGGTGGCGACACACGGAGGGGAGGGGCTCGTGTGGGTTCGCGGTCGCCCGCACCCCCCGCCCCCCCGCACCCCCCGCCCCCCCGCACCCCCCGCCCCCCCGCGCCAACGCGGCTCGGCAAGGAGTGAGCGGAACGATTATGAAGCTCGTGTCGCGCACGCTCACGCGTAAACGTGAACGTGTGCGCCATTTACGAGTGCCGCCGCCTCCTTAATGAACACGAATTAAGATGCTTGTGGAGGTGCGATCGCGCTCAAATGTAAATCCAGATCGTATCACCTTGCGCAAATTGCTTCTTGTCGCATTATTAATTTCCTCTGCAGCTGTCTTAATATACGGAGACTGGTCTGGTGCCCGCTGTAGGCAGGCGCGTGATGTCTAAAACATGCAACACTTCCTGTGAGCACAAGTCCTGAGCCTCAACCCTTCAGTTCTTTCGAGTTGGTTTCCTCGACAAGGCCGAGAGCAATGTGCACGTCACGTGACGTACACGCAATCTCCTTGTGCGAGCTGCTGTCGCGCGTCACCCAGAGATGACCCCGCTTGTTGGGGTCATGGGCTCACGCGCTCCTCTCCTTCAGCCACTCGCTCAGAGGCTGCCCCTGCCGTCCACTGTTCTACGTGGGGCACCTTTCCGCACGTGCGTGTGTCCAATATCTGAACTGGTCCAGCCTTAAATGGGGCAGGCATGGTGCTGGCCACTCACCCCCTCGTGTGTCATGCCTGACTTCATAGGTGCTCGCGAACAGCACTTGCCCCAACACCCTGTGTGGGCTACACGAAGATTCTTAGTCTTGTGTGAGTGTATGTGCACGTGTGCTGCCTGTGTGCATGTACGTCCGGTGCCTACGTGCGTATGGCTGCGTGTGCGGCCTCTGGGCATTAACGTAGGCGTGTGTTCGTGCGTGCGTGCCTGCGCATGTGCACGTGTGCAGGAGGAATCCTCTGCATTTCCACTTCATCGTGGACCACACGGCTCAGCACATCCTCAGCACGCTCTTCAAGATGTGGATGGTGCCATCACTCCGCATCGACTTCTACGGGGCCGACGAGCTCAAGGTTGCTGCGCAGTCACAGCAGCCACAGCAACGCAGAAGCCGCTGCAATGCAGCAGCTGTGCGTGCGCACGTGTGTTCGACCGTGCATACGTGTGTGTGCATGCGTGCGTATGCAGTCTGAGGTGTCGTGGATCCCCAATAAGCACTACTCGGGTATCTACGGCCTGATGAAGCTGGTGCTCACGCAGGCCCTGCCGCCCTCGCTCGAGAAGATCATCGTCCTCGACACCGACATCACCTTCGCCACCGACATCGCCGAACTCTGGGCCATCTTCCACAAGTTCAAAGGTCAGCCTTTCGTTGCCCTCCCGATGACATACGACCCCCATAGCACGAACCACCCATGAAAATCGTGAGAGAGACAGAGACAGAGATGGAGAGACGGGGAGAATTAATTAGCAGCGTTGACGTATTATCCCGGTGATTGCGGGCCATGCTTCATCCCAAAGAGCGGTCAGTTTTTGACCCCGAACCTTTCGCTAAAATTGGATCTTGGAATGCGGTCATTGGAGCAATCGATCGCACGCGAAGGTCTGCGGCTCGCTCCCGCGGCTCGGCACCGCATCGGGCGAGCGAGCGGAGGCGCAGGAGCACACGGCTCTCCGCCCTCTCCCCCAACCTCCCTGCCGTTGTCGTCACTGTCACGTGGACGGCAGACGGATTCTCATGGACTGCTCCTTCATTGCTCCGGGCATAATAATTAGCATAACGAGCGTTAGTCTGAGCGCATTGTGCTCCCGCGTGTGCGTGTCTTTGTCTTGAGTTTAAGTGTCCGTGTGTGTCTGCACATCTGCGTGTGTATTTGTATACGTCTGTGAATGTATACATATGTCTCTGTGTGTACCGATATGTGTAAGTGTATGCGTGTACAGGTCCGTCTGTCTGCGCGGAGAGCTCTTGGGTAGTGATCATCACAGCTGTGCTCACCACCGGTGGTAATTGGTATGTGAACCTCACCTGGGGTGCCAGGTGAGGTTCACATACCAATTACTTTAATGGGCAGCCTGAACAGGCGCTCTCAAACAGCCCAGGTCCCCGGCGGCCCGCGCACCGACTCCGCGAGTGACCCTTACCCTTGCGTGGCCCCCACGGGGCGCACGCCGTGCAGGTCAGCAGGTGATTGGGCTGGTGGAGAATCAGAGCGACTGGTACCTGGGCAACCTGTGGAAGAATCACAAGCCCTGGCCAGCACTGGGGCGAGGCTTCAACACAGGTAACAACAACGCAGCTCACCTGTGACGTGCACTGCTCACCTGTGAGATACACAGCTCATACCGTGCCAGTTGGAGTGATGACACAAATGTAACAAACCCTGGAAAGAGCGAGAGGCACTCATTTGGAGATGGACAGAGGACCGTGTGGAACAAACAACAAAGGCAAACTCGAGACTCTGAGTGGGCATGGGCAGGACGTGTCACTAGAGGGGATGTGGCTGGTTGCCTCCCTCAGCTAAAACGAAAAACACGCATTGTAACTGGTTATTGGCCAAAAAATAACAGGAGCCTCTATGCCAGTCTTAAGACTCTGAGGCTTTCCTGAATGAACAAGAATTGTAATGCAAGAAGAGAGACAACCCAAAACAGTCAGGGATTAATTTCTCGCTCAATATTTTATTTTCTAGATCACGAGCAGGCTTAGGAACTAGAGCAGGCCTAGGCACTGGAGCAGGCCTAGGATCAGGCGCGCATAGGCGAGAGACTCGGCCTCAATCAATTGGCAAAGCCAGTGCCAATTCTTTTCTGAGTCGCTGACCCAAACCAGCCCAGCTAAAATGAATCCCCGGGAACAGCGGCTGCCTGGAGAGGGGAAGCAGCGCCACTGCAGTAATCCGGCAGACGGAGCCGCGGGCACCGAGCTCAGGGCCGCGGTGTTTCCTCGCCACTCCCCCCTCTCCGGAAGGGCACAGCGGTGCGCCTTGGGACGAGGCAAAGGGAGACAGAGTGGAAATCGCAGGCCATTCATATGGCGCGACGAGAGGACGCTATCACCGCGGGCACGGACACGTCCTTGGTGATGCCATTGGATGTAGTTGTTAGTGAATCACGGAGTGGGGCTTGCGTTTGTGTGTGCATGCGTGTGTGTGTGTGCATGTCACGTGGGCCGTGTAGATGGAAATGGGGGAGGGGCGGGCGAGGTGGAGAAGGGGGGGGCCGTCAAATTATTCCAGCCGGTGCGCTCAGCTCCCGTGACCCCGCGCGCCATTCCGGCAGAGATTTCCAGGAGAGACGGATGACCACATTAGCAATGGCGTGGTTTGATTTATCCCCGCTCCTACCACCACGAGCTCCCAATCAAGCCTCTCGTTAACAGGCGCCGCCATCTCTCACCTGAGACTAATTAACTCTTTAAACAGAGCGCCCACGTGGCGGAACATCGGAGGGGAAGGGCAGGGGAACGGCCTCTGCCGTCAAGCTTCCGTAATTGTCTCCAGCGTCGGAGGACCGAGTGAAAGAAACCAAATGGGGTGATCATTATTTTATTTCACTGTATATTTCCCGCAGCGCAGCTCCCGTTTCAGAGAACCGGTCCCTGGAACTGGATATCACAGAGCTACTTCTGAGTTCCCATCAAGTGACTCCTTATCCACACTAAGGTGTGGCGCCCTCCCACCCGCCTCGCTGCAGAGAAATATTGGTCGCATGACCATCAAGTCGATTCTCATAACTCGCTCCACGTGATACCCTGGTTCAATCGCAGGCAGCGGTTGTAACCGGGAGCAGAACCCGAGGTGTCAACGTTGCCGGCTCGGTGCCTCCAACCCCCGAGACGCCCAATGGCGCCTCACAGGAGGTCGTTTATTTGCCACGCGGCAGGAAACAGAGCCATCGCTTAACCGTGCCCGGCTTAAACAAGGTTCCGCTCTTGTACTGGTAACAACGTAGAGAGTGTTTAAGTGAGGAGATAGCGGTGTTCGTACAAAGGTGGCGGCGGTGTGTGCCCTACGTGTGGCGCTGCCAGGCGTGATCCTGCTGCTGTTTGAGCGGCTGCGTCAGATGAAGTGGGATCAGATGTGGAGACTCACGGCGGAGCGCGAGCTCATGGGCATGCTGTCCACGTCGCTCGCCGACCAGGTGAGGTGCCGCTCACGCCACACAGCGCACGCCGCGCTTGCCACACCACCCGCGCCGAGCGAACGCCGCAGCTGTCTCTCTGAGCAGTCTTCGTCTCACCGCGCGCGCGCGTGTCCCCACGTCAGGACATCTTCAACGCGGTGATCAAGCAGAACCCAGTGCTCGTGCACCAGCTGCCCTGCTTCTGGAACGTGCAGCTCTCGGACCACACGCGCTCTGAGCAGTGCTACAAGGAGGTGTCGGACCTCAAGGTGACGCACGCACGCGCACGCACGTACTCACCTGCACATGACACACACGTGCGCGCATAGACACGCACACAAGCGCACGTACGCACACACACGCAGATACAAACACGCACAAAAATAAAAAAAGATCCTCTGTTTAGCCTGAACAGACTGTTGGGGCAAGTGCTGTTAGCAAGCAGCTATGCAGGACACGCAAGGGGGTGGGTGGCCAGCACCACACCAGGTCGCCCTTGTCTGTCGACTGGTAATGTTTACACACCACACCAGGTACTCATTTGGGGCTGAGTAGACCTAGCGGAGTCTCCAAACCGATTCAGATATTCACCGCTGGTGTTTTCCCCAAGAAGGGGAAGATGATGATTGTTGATGATGACAACGGCAACGATAATGGTGCAGGTGATTCACTGGAACTCGCCCAAGAAGCTGCGAGTGAAGAACAAGCACGTCGAGTTCTTCCGCAACCTCTACCTCACCTTCCTCGAGTACGACGGCAACCTCCTGCGCCGGGAGCTCTTCGGCTGCGCCAGCGACGGCGACGCCGAGAGCGAAGCGGTAAGCCGCGGGGTCACGGTGGGGTCGCGGCCTGCCTCGGGGTCACGGTGGGGTCCCCGCCGCGCGGTCACAGTGGGGTCCCCGCCTCGGGGTCACGGTGGGGTCCCCGCCTCGGGGTCACGGTGGGGTCGCGGCCTGCCCTGCGGACTCGGCTGTGAGCGTGAATGTGGTCGAGCGTGGTGGGAGTTACGGGTGGGGTGAGAATGATGAGTGTACGGATGAGCATGGTGTGTGTAGGTATGGGTGTGTGTGTTGTGTGACAATGGCGAGCGTGGTGTGTAAGCGTGGTGGTTGAGTGTGGTGGGTGAGCACGGTGAGTGTGGTGGGTGAGTGTGGTGGTTGAGCGTGGTGGGTGAGCGTGGTGGGTGAGCGTGTGAGCTTGGTGGTTGAGTGTGGTGGGTGAGCATGGTGAGCATGGTGATTGTGGTGGGTGAGCGTGGTGGTTGAGCGTAGTGGGTGAGCGTGGTGGGTGAGTGTGGTGGGTGAGCATGGTGAGCGTGGTGGGTGAGCATGGTGGGTGTGCATGGTGAGCATGGTGGGTGAGTGTGGTGGTTGAGCGTGGTGGTTGAGCGTGGTGGGTGAGCATGGTGAGCATGGTGGTTGGGCGTGGTGGTTGAGCGTGGTGGGTGAGCGTGGTGAGCGTGGTGGGTGAGCGAGTGTCGCCCACGCCACTCCGCTCGACTGTCTCTTCTGACAAAGGCGCAGGTGGCGTCCTCAGCCTGCACCTTTGACTACGCATAACATCAACCGCACAAAGGCGGCACCATCACGGAACGCAAGCGCGGCCCTCATTACCACTTTAAAGTGCTACTGACGACTAAAGAACCCTTTGCAAAAAAATTACGTTTCAGACATTTAAATGTAAATCTCACCGTTATTTAAACGCGCCGGGGAAACACTCCAATTAGGGCGCGTGCCCTGGATTTGTCTACACGGAGCGCGCTTTCATGTCCAGCTCGCGCGAAGCAATCGCCCGCCCGTCCACGCGGTGCCTTCAAAGCCTCGCTCGCCCACTCGCCAACCAATCATCCAGCTGCCCCCTCGCTCGCACACCGCTCGCCCACCCGCTCGCCGACCAGTTTCACACATTCACCATGAATGGTCAGTCAATTGAGCTGTCGGTAGTGGTGCTGATGATGGTGGTGCTCAGGGCCGTGGTGGTTGTAGTGGTTGTGGCACTTGGGTCTGTTATGGTGGTTGTTGTTGGTAGTAGAGCTCTGGGGTGTAGTGGTGGCTTTTTGGTGGACACGAGGTTATGGAGACGTTGGTTCACGAGTGAAGACCCCCCCCCCTCCACCTCGTGTCTCCGCTCACTCAACCGGCGAGTCTCAACATTGCCGCCCGATCCCATTCCCTGCTAACGCCGTGTTCAACACGACAGGGGACATGTTGAACATTGGTCCTTCTTCACAGCAGAGAGGAGGGTCATCGCTCGAAACATCGCCCATTGTCTTCCTCTCCTTCAGTGCCACCGAGTTGTTGCCGAATGAGTTGGGATCGTGGTTTTAGTGCACCACTGCCAATGCAGCGTCGCACGCTATCGCAATGAGATCGGTGCCCAGCAAATGAGTCGTGTTTGACGACAAATTCCTCCAACGGCCAGTGGCTCGTCTCACTTGGGGCGGGGGATGGGGGGGGCCCTGCTCAGGGGCACGTGACCCAGGGTCCTGTGGCTCAGGGGAGGCCCGCGTGCAAGCCGGGTGCAGGGTCGCTCGCCTCTCGTTCAGTTCCCCTTTACTAAATGCTCGTAAAGAGCTCATTATCTTCATTACGCTTATTTGATATTTTACTGTGTAACTATTTTGGATTTGTGCGCGTGTGCGCGTGATGATTTGTGTGTTGATGTGCGTGCTGATGTGCGTGTGCATGCTGATGTGCGTGTTGATGTGCGTGTGTGTGCGAGCAGCTGCAGAAGAAGCTCTCTGAGCTGGACGAGGACGACCTGTGCTACGACTTCCGGCGCGAGCGCCTCACGGTGCACCGCACGCACCTCTACTTCCTGCACCACGAATACGTGCCCAGCGCTGACGGCACCGACGTCACGCTCGTCGCGCAGCTCTCCATGGATCGGTGAGCGCGCCGCTCCACCGCACTCGCCACCGCGCTCACCGCTGCGCTCACCTCCGAGCTCACCGCCGCGCTCACCGCCGCGCTCACCGCCGCGCTCACCTCCGAGCTCACCGCCGCGCTCACCGCCGTGCACACCGCCGTGCACACCGCCGCACTCGCCACCACGCGATGTGCAGGCTGCAGATGCTGGAGACGATTTGCCGCCACTGGGAGGGCCCCATCAGCCTGGCGCTCTACATGTCGGACGGCGAGGCGCAGCACTTCCTGCGCTACGCGCAGGCCTCCGAGATTCTGTCACGCCGCGACAACATCGGCTACCACGTGGTGTACAAGGAGGGCCAGTTCTACCCGGTGAACCTCCTGCGCAACGTGGCCATGGGCCAGGTGAACACGCCCTACGTCTTCCTCTCCGACATCGACTTCATCCCCATGGATGGCCTCTACGACTACATTCGGTGCGTGCGCCTCCCCCCCCCCACTCGACCCCTCCCCCACCACCCACCAAACCAATAACACAACCGCCATTTGCCACTGAGTGACGGTGACGTCGCCACGGCGCCTGTGCTAGGCCAGGTGCACTTTGAAACCAGGCCATGAGATGACTGGTAGATGCACCAGCTGTGCCCCCTACAGTGCCAACTTGCTGCATTTTATCCACCCATCACTCCACTAATTGTTGTGAGCAATGCTCCTCTGCCCTCCGTTGTTGTTGGAGGGTGACTACCTCCAACTGCTCAGTAGTGTCCTTCACGAGCTTCCTCCATCGAGGATGATCTTGACACTGCGTGTACCAGTCGTGGTTGACCAATAGGGAGCCATCCCTCAACCGCACCCGGGCATCCATCAGCCTCCCACCAGATGGAAATTCCTCCGGTACAGCCATGGAAAGCTTCTCGAACTACTTAGTCAAAGATTATGTTAAATCATGTGGGAGCCACAGGACATCCCTGTCACACCCCAAGGTGAACAGGGAATGGGTCCGACTCCTGGCCACGTAGCTTTACCCAGACCTGCTTGCCATCATGAAGGCCCAAAATGATTGTGAACAGAGAGTCAGGGACTCTGAAAGCACGAAGAGCTGCCCACAGCCCTGGCCTGTTGATAGTACCATAGGCCTTGACGAGGTCAATAAAGCAGAGATGCAGGTCTTGGTGCAGTTCCCTACACTCACACAATCACGCACGCAGCCTCTTTCCCACACGCGCGCGCACTCACGCACCCACACACACACGCACGCGCACTCACGCATTTGAGACTCGTTTTTGCCCACTTCATAACAGGACATTTTAATAACACGATGCTGATTTTATTAACGAGATGTTAATTTTGATGAAGCGATGCTAGAGCATGAAACGAGATGCTAATTTTAAGAACAGACAATAAAGTTGCTCGCAAAGCGGTGACCGGGCGCGCCCGACCCCATGACCATGTGACCCTGTGACCCAGTGACCATGCGATCATGTGACCGTGACCCTGTGACCCCTTGACCCCATCACCATGCGACCCCAGGAGGTCGATCCAGCAGCTGGACATGGCAAGCAGCAAGAAGGCGCTGATCGTGCCGGCGTTCGAGACGCTGCGTTACCGCTTCTCCTTCCCCAAGTCCAAGGCGGAGCTACTCTCCATGCTCGATATGGGCACTCTTTACACCTTCCGGTGCGTGCGGTGCGCGCATGACGGCGCCAAGGTTGCATTTCACGACACTTAAAATTTAGTTAGCACCAACGCCGCACCAACGCTGCACCAACGCCGCACCAACGCCGCGGCGGAGGCACGGTTTGCGCCGTCCATGTCTCCCGGCGCACCACTGATGAATGCGAATGCCTTTCCCAACAAATGAGCTGCGGATAACGTCTCCATCTTGATTATCTCTCCCCGCGGGGCCAGACAAATGAATACCCCTCGTCCCAGCTTCCTACGCCGTACTGATAGGGTCCACGTCCCTCCCTCCAGGCCTCCCGCTCCTCCCCTTAATCACCCACGCGGCCATGTCGTCGTGAACTTAAGGGGCGATTCGCGGGCCAAGCGCTCACATTTGTTTTCGGGCAACGATCATTCGATGTTCGTGAGGGGGGGGCGAGGGGGCACGCGGTCACGGCGCCGCGGCAACCACATGCTGGAGGCGGGCGCCGGCGAGGAGACGATCCGTGGCGCTGCCCCCGACCCTTCTCCTAGAGCCATCCCAGTCCTCGCACACGGCACGAACCTGCCACACGTGTTCTGGTTTGGCCAGGACGGTTCTGGTGGTTCCACAAAGTTCCCCCCACCCCACAAAGCATTTGCGAGACTTTGCGGTGGTGCGCGACGGCGCAGGTACCACGTGTGGACTCGGGGCCACGCACCCACCAACTACGCACGCTGGCGCACGGCCACCACGCCGTACCGCGTCGAGTGGGAGGCCGACTTCGAGCCGTACGTGGTGGTGCGCAGCGACTGCCCCGAGTATGACCGCCGCTTCGTGGGCTTCGGCTGGAACAAGGTGGCGCACGTCATGGAGCTCGACGCGCAGGTGCGGTGGTGGGGGGCGGGGGGGCAGCGAGCACCGCGCGGCACAACGCGGCCCTACAAACGCACACGGCCGCCACTTGCCGCACGTTCGATTGAGAACAAGAGACACGGACCGTCCTGCCGTAGCCGTGCCCTCTAACCCCCGATGCCTTCCGACCCCGCGCGCCCTCTGACCCTGTGCATCCTGCGACCCCGCGCCCCCCCCGCCTGGCAGGAGTACGAGTTTGTTGTGCTGCCCAACGCGTTCATGATCCACATGCCGCACGCGCCCAGCTTCGACATCGCCAAGTTCCGCTCGAGCCAGCAGTACCGTGCATGCCTCAAGACGCTCAAGGAGGAGTTCCAGCAGGACATGTCACGCAAGTACGGCTACGCCGCCCTCAAGTACCTCACCGCCGAGAAGAACAGCTAGGAGGAGCGTGCCGTGCAGCGCCGGCGCCCGTGGCAACCGCGTCCACGGTAACGAGGCCCGCACCCGTCATCCCCGCCGCTCGGCCACGGTGATTTCAAAGCGGCCGGCGGATTTCCCGGCCGCGAAGCCGGGAGCGTCGTCGGCGTTCAACGGGGGCGGTGAGCGGCACCGTCAGCCACTCGGCCTGGCCGGCGCGCAGCCGGTGCCCAGCGCGAGACCCCCGGTGGTTCCAGCGCGAGACCCCCGGTGGTTCCAGCGCGAGACCCCCGGTGGTTCCAGCGCGAGACCCCCGGTGGTTCCAGCGCGAGACCCCCGGTGGTTCCAGCGCGAGACCCCCGGTGGTTCCAGCGCGAGACCCCCGGTGGTTCCAGCGCGAGACCCCCGGTGGTTCCAGCGCGAGACCCCCGGTGGTTCCAGCGCGAGACCCCCGGTGGTTCCAGCGCGAGACCCCCGGTGGTTCCAGCGCGAGACCCCCGGTGGTTCCAGCGCGAGACCCCCGGTGGTTCCAGCGCGAGACCCCCGGTGGTTCCAGCGCGAGACCCCCGGTGGTTCCAGCGCGAGACCCCCGGTGGTTCCAGCGCGAGACCCCCGGTGGTTCCAGCGCGAGACCCCCGGTGGTTCCAGCGCGAGACCCCCGGTGGTTCCAGCGCGAGACCCCTTGCCGCGTAACGACCGGAGGCGTGGGCGACGCTGCAGTTGGAATAACCGGGCCGCACGCTGCGCGCCGTCACCACGGCCTCCTCCCACTCCTCACGCGTCTCGGCAACGTCTGGTCCAAGTTGACTCTGCCAAGCGAGCGGCATGCCTGCTTGTGATTGGCTGCAAGAAATGTTCCTGCCCCCCCCACCCCACCAACTCGGCTCTCTGGGGGCCACCGCCCGAGCCGCGGCGACAGAGGAGCAGTGCCCCTCGTCTCGAGACGGAGCAAGAGGCGTCGCAGGCGTCCCTGCGACGCCGAATACTTGACCCGTGTGGGGGGCACGGCCCCCCGCCCCTGACTTTGGACACTGGAGTTGTATGCGCCCCCCTCCCCCCAGTGTGCGTGATGTCCTTGCTGTTACTTTTACATCCTCGAGCTTCTGCTGAGTGACGCCACGGCACCTACTACTGGCCACCGTTGTGGCTCTTGTGTGTGTGTGTACATACGTGCGGTACGTGTGTGTGCGTTCTTGTGTGTGTACTTACACGTGCGCGCGTGTGTGTACGTGTGTGTGTGTGTGATCGCGTGCGTGTGTGAACACGTGCGTTTGTGATCGCGTGCGTGTGTGAACACGTGCGTGTGTGATCGCGTGCGTGTGTGAACACGTGCGTGTGTGATCGCGTACGTATGTGATCGCGTGCGTGTGTGAACACGTGCGTGTGTTCAGCTGCTGTTGTGACGTGTAAGTTGCGTGGCCGCGAGCGGCTCGCGGTGTCAGTGACGATCCGGCGCGAATTCACGCGACACGGAAACGCGACCGCATCCCGACGTGCTGACCAGCGGAACCCACTCGCCACCACGACTGTCACTACCACCGCCCCCACCATCGCCTCCACCACCACCATCACCACCACCATCACCACCACCATCACCACCACAGCCAACACCACCGCCACCCAAAACTCTCGCCGCAGCACGGATCGACCTCCGGTGAGGAGCGCCGAGTGCTTTTTGTTTTGCTTGCGCGTCCCCCTCGTGGCTCGCACCACGCGAGTGTTTCGTGTTCTCGCGTCGAGCCTCGAGTGGCGATGTGGAACCGGGAGGGAGTGGGGGAGCGTCGGGGTCGCTCCGCTCGTGCCGAGCGTCGGCATTAAAGTCGATCGCGGTGGAGACGGAGACAGGAGGGTGGGTAGGGGGAGAAGTGCGGTCACGACGAGACACGGAGAGGGGAGCGAGGAGCATGCGCCGGCACTGGCCGAACTGGCACTTGCGCGGTGAGGATGAAGATGAGGGGTTCCTGGCCGGCGCTCTTTGCGCTGCCAAAACAAAACACGGAGAAGCTACCTCGTGCGCGCGACGACTTGACATGACCTGGGAGCGACTGGAACACACCCGTGACGGGAGTCGTCATCGGTGCGGTGGCCGCGCCGCGCCCCCCCCCCCCCCCCGGAGCGGCGCCTGCTGCCGAAACCCTCGCCGCGGCGAGTCGCCACGGCACGGGCGAGGGAGGTGAGTCCCCCCCCCCTCGCGCGTCGTCACCGGTTCATCACCGGTTCATCACCGCCCTTGCGATTCCATTAATCGTCGCACTTTGGAGGTCGCGACGATTACATTTGTGTTTATTTTGTGAAGCCGCCGCGAAACAGAAACGAGGGGGAGAGACGGCGGCACGGCGTCGTTTGTCGTACGCACAAGTTGCGCTCGCTTCGTCGCCCTGGGTGAAACGTCGACTGCAGACTCTGTTATTTCGAGATCGTTTGCATTAACCGTGAATCTCGACGTGAACGCAGGAGAGGGTCGGTTCGGTTCGACTCACGGGGTGTCGCGACCCTCGGAGGCCGCTCGGCGCGACGTAGCACCGTTGACTCGAGACTCGCGTTCCAATTGTCTGCCCCTCCCACGCCGTAGCGATTTGATGAATTGTCGTCGCGGATCAAAGCCGCGACTCGAGGGCACCGGGGGATGTCGCTGCTACGGCAGCAGCAGCACGGTGCGCGTAAACTAGCGGCGGGTCTCTCGCGAGTGGCAGCGCGGCCGCTTGTCCAGTGAGGCCGGGCCCCGGTGTCGATGCGGCCCGCGCCGCCATCCGTGCCGGTGTGGGAACAGCGGAACCTCCGATTAGCACGGCTAGCAAGATCGGCTACGTACGGTGCGAAAGAAGTTCAACATAATACTCGCCGGCGGGAAGCCTCCGGTTCGGGCCGTTAGCGGCGGAGCTGTCGAGCACGCAGGCGGTGCAACTGCGAATGAGGCTTAGGCGCCAGGCTACAAAGGGTGGTTCCGGTGCGTGGTTCCAATGTGTAGTCCCGGTGAGAGTGTGGTTCCGATGAGAGTGTGGTTCCGGTGAGAGTGTGTTTCCAGTCTGTGTTTCTGGGTAGGTGGTGCTGGTGGATGGTTCTGGTCTGAGGTGCAGGTTCTGGTGCGTGGTTCGGGTGCTTGGTTCCGATGTGTGATTCCAGCGGAAGGTGTTGGCCTGTGGTTCCGGTGCGTGCTTCGCTGCGGCGTGAGCTTGCCGGTGGTGCCACGAGTCGCGGCTCCCCGTCGAGATGCCGCAGGAGAGAGGCCACTGCATGCGACTCGCTGCTGCTGCTGCTGCTGCTTCCGACTCCGGGACTCGGGCGACGTTGAGGCTTCGGCCCGGACACTGAGGGGGCACGGCCCCCTCGCGACTCCAAGGCTCTGCGCCCCCCCCCTCGCCGCGATGCGGGGGCTACGGGGAGGTGTGTGGAGCGTCGTGCCGCTCTCCCCGTGTCCCACCAACCCTCGTTATGTTGCTATCGAGGTTTTCTTTTCCTTGCAAGTAGCCGTGTGTGTTGCACGGCTGTGAGGTGTAGTATCTGATGATGGTGGTGGTGGTAATAATGCTGCTGATGCCCATGATAGAGGTGATGATGACGATCCGGTACACACAGTCGGCATGGCCATGCTGTGCAAGCGTTGATGCACGAATCGCCACGCGTGTACGCGTGCGCTCCACGTGGGGTCCCGCACGCGTGACGCAGTTTCCAGAGAAGAAACTCGCCCAGAGAGCGACAGAGAGAGACCCCCAGAGAGGTCTTGGATAGACGCCCAGAGGGACAGAGTTTCGTTGATCCTGAACCTGCATCCGCGCCTGCGGGCCCCTGGTCAGCACACCGCTGCCCGCAGACAAAGACAAACACACCGAGAGAAGGTTCCGCGTTTAAAGTGTGTTGCCTGGTTAACACTACAGACCGCCAGGATAGGAGCCTCATGTGCAAGAGCTACTTGGGTTACTGAAGTGACAGGAGCAAAACGGAAGTCGCGCCGATAACGCAAATGGAAATCGGTTCAAAAACAACTGCACACAAACAATAACAAACGTTGAAATATTGCACAATCGTCAACAAACACGCGTCATGGAATCCCGAGGGGATTGTCGCAGATGAAGAGCGCCCCGGGAGGGAGGAAGCCTCGCAGGCAGGAGCCCTCCCAGACCGACACACAGACACACACAGAGACACACACAGACACACACACACAGACCAACACACACAGACACAGACCAATACAGACGCACACACAGACCAACACACACAGACACACAGACTGACGCACACAGACCAACACAGACACACACACAGACACACACAGAGCAACACAGACACACAGACCAAGACAGACACACAGACCAACACAGACACACACACAGACCAACACACACACACAGACCAACACACACACACAGACCAACACACACACACACACAGACCAACACAGACACACATAGACACACACAGACCAACACAGACACACACACACAGACCAACACAACACACAGGCCAGCACAGACCAACACAGACACACACAGACTGACACACACAGACATACACAAAGATCAACACAGACACACACCCACAGACCGACACAGACACACACAGACCAACACACACACAGACTGACACACACAGACTGACAGACACACACAGACTGACAGACACACACAGACTGACACACACAGACACACACAAAGAGTGGCGCTTGGACCGACACACACGGGATGGCGCTCAGGCTGAGAGTTTGGAGGAGGGAGAGGCGGCGTTGGAAATAATAACCGGAGAGAAGAGCCACATGTAAATTCCACCATCCTCGTCCCCGGACCGTGGAGTGACCTCGCAGCCCGTGGAGTGAGGCTTGCGATGGCGATGATTTGGAGATCCCTGCGTGTGTCCGGCTCGCTGCTAAGGCTGGATGGCGGTGGTGGCGCCGCTGCGTCGTGGCGAGACGACGTCTCGATGTGGTGTGCCGGGTGCGGACATCTTTTTTCAGGGCGCCGACGTCGGGAGAGCGACTCGGCTGCAACGAAGCCCCGTGTTTATTATTAATTCTTGTAATGTGCAAATTAATATATAATATTTATATCGGAGAGACCCTGTGAGAGCCGAATGCGACGGGTGGCGGAGGTGTGAGTCGGGGGGGGGGGGGCTTTCCCTTGCGTCACCGAGTCAGGGGGTGCGGGGGGGGGTCCCCCCAGAGAGAGCGGCTGGATGAGCAGGGAGGGGTCCCCAGGACGACTTCCATCTCCCCTCGAATCGGGGGCCAGGGAGGCGCCGATCCCGACCGGGACAGGTGCGAGGGCAAAGCCGCCGCGCTGTGTGTGGGTTCGGGCTCATGCCGCGTCTCTGGCGGTCACGTCACGCGATGTTGTTTGTGGATATTCGTGATGGG